GTGATAACATAAGCAAACGTAAGATAAAAGCTTGTGAGCTGAAGCAACCATGCCATTTTAGCTTACCTATAAAAGTCATTGTGCTCTTTTATCATGACTCTGTTTCATGGGACTCATACCAAACACTCCACATCGCAAGCGCAATTCGGAATCAGGAGAGCTACCGAGCAAGTTTACTATGTCAGAGCTGTACATATGGAGCTGGTTATGTGATGCAAACATCAAAATGTATTAGTACAAATCATGCAATACGGTAAAAGATTTTTAAAGTCACAACATCTCCGTGAACATAAGTGTTTATTAATTGATAATCTGCCCCATAAAAATAATACATTTTGTGAAAAGGAATCAATGTTGTTGATGTTTTACTGCCAGTAGTTTTAATTTCAACTGGAAACTGCAGGAAAATGTATGTATAGGTAAGTTTTTAGAGTTTTTCAAAAATGTAGGTACAGGCACATTTTTCCAAAGATTTGTTGCCCTATGACAAAGTGCACCCGCTATGGTCCTGCTGAGGTGTTCTGGTTTTTAGCGTGTATGCAGTATGTAAGTGTTGCCCTTTTTATCATCTGTCAGATAAAAATCATATGTTTGTTTGGAAAAGTAAATGCATTCCTAAACTCAATAAGATATTTCATTTGACGTATCAGTTATGTCTGTAGCACAAATGCGTGTTTACACATCAGTGTTTAATAGAAGAAGAAATGTGCAAAAACTACCTTTAGGGCTTCAACAGCACCCTCAAAGGGTGCATACTAGTACCTTAGAGTAGTAATATGTACCCTTAAGGTAGTAATATGTACTCTTATGGTACTAATATGCACCCTTTAGGGGGTAAAGAAAGTGCAAAGGTGTTCCTTTGATGATACTGCCCCAGTGACAAGCTGTTGTAATCTTCTTTATGCACCAAGAGCTTGTAACACTCCAAAGAGAAAGGAAAAATTTAAATCGCATCATATGACCCCTTTAAACCGCATAAACACATTTCATTACACCAAATACACAAAATAATGTTCTTTTTAGCAACATCATATGACCCCTTTAAAATCTGATGGACTAAGAAAAAGAATGCAGAGAAGCGAAATAAAATTGAAAATGTAAGCATAATCTCAGACTTTTGTAATTAGTCTCTCTCTCACTAATTTTGTTGGAATCAATGTAATGTCACTTCCGTATCTCATTACAATAGTCTCTCTCTCTCTCTTTCCTTGACTGAATATCCTTCTTGCGGCAGCCAAATAGACATATCAGGCTCCAGTCACGCATTGAATGTCTGTCTGGTCTGTTTCTGATGATGAATTTTGTTTGTCCTTTCCCTCAGAGGGCAAATGATATACCAGGAAAAAGAAAGAAGAGAAGAAAGAACGAGCGAACTCTATTGCCTTAAAAAAAAGAAAAATTTGAATATACCTTACACCCACCCATACGTTCATGGGGCATTGGCTGCCTAGTGATTTATTGAGTGAACCGTGTCTCTTCTCCGGGCAGAGAATCCATGGAGAGTGAAGAGGACAGTCATTTACGTCTAACCCTTATTATCATGCTGAAGAGCTCCTCGCTTAAGCAGTCTGTCTGACAGCACTCTTACAAAACAGACAGAGTGACCGGACAGCCACTATTTCTGGATACTGCCGTTACATTACACATTTTACTGCTGTTACTTTAAACAGGTTGTTGCAGCCTGTGCATACTAAGTAACATTTATTGTCAAAACCCAGAATGTATTTGACAAAACCAAAAGTCCTTGAAAAATGTTCTTAAAGGTGTGTCATTTCTACTAGCGGCGCCAAATGTATTGCAAAAATAATGAAAATAAGGTTTCCCCAACACAACAATACTGATTAGTGGCTTTTTCATAATTTAAATACTTATTATTAATATTATTAATATTTGAAAACTATTAATATTTCAAAATCATGTGATTTGACAAACATGCGTAAACAATGCAGAAAAAAACTACATAAAACAAATAATCAAATCATAGACAGGATCCTCCATTACTGTGTCAAGGTCACATTTAAAATATCAGATAATTTACTTTTTTTATGACAAGGCAAGGTTAGTCCAGATGTAAAATGTAATGTGGTGCGTCTCTTCAAAAACCTGGTGATATTTATATCTAATGATATTTGTAAAAATATATAAATTTCTGCCTTGAAAATTATATATTTAAAAACGACGATTTGGATGTGTACACTGACATGTTTCAAGGCATAAGGAAAATATGTTATTTTTACCCAAAGGTTACGCCACATGACATTTTTAGAAACATTAAATCTTTTTTAAAACATGGATTAAAAGGTTTTCAAAACCATATTTAAACCGACATGAATACAAATGGGCCCCTAATACAATGATTTACATTATTTTCCCTTATAAAATATAAACACTGTATTTTAAGGTGTCCTTGTTACAGTGTATATAATAATGTACTGAGTAATATCAATTAAATGTGCAGTGAAGATCTGCATAACACCGCCCAAATGTTCACGCAAAGAAAGAAGGCGTAAACCTTAAACCGCATAGACACATTGCATTACACCAAATACACAACATAATGTTCTTTTTAGCATCGTCATATGACCCCTTTAAAGACTAAAGGGGATAGTGCCTTCTCTGTGGCAGCTCCACGTCTCTGGAATAGCCTCCTTCCTCATATTAGATCCTGTAACTCGTTGGAATGTTTAAAATCCTTGCTGAAAACGCATCTCTACTCTATTGCTTACAACTGCCCCTAGGGGTCTGGAGTCTGAGTAGTGATCTGTATTGGGTGTGTTCTTAATTTGTGTTTGTTTTGTGGTAATGTTAAGAGTGTAAAGCACTTTGGTCAACATGTGTTGTTTTTAAACATGCTATAGAAACAAATGTTGATTTGATTTTGATTTGATTTAATTTCAAATATCAGGTGTTTTTCAGAAATCGCTTACTGCACCTTTAACAACATTTATTTTCTATAGGGTTAAGACTGGGGTTTGGTTTAGGGTTAGTTGATTGGGTAACACTTTATTTTAAGGTGTCCTTGTTACACATGTACATGTACTTACTATTATAATAACAGCAATTATGCATAATTACATGCAAGTAACCCTAATCCTAACCCTAAATAATCCTAACCCAATAGTAAGTACATGTAGTTAATTAATATTACTCAGTACTTGAATGTATAATTACACTGTAACAAGGACACCTTAAAATAAAGTGTAACCGCTGTTTGTAATTCTGCATAATTTACTGTTAGTACATGTAACATGTGATAACAAGGACAGTGTAAAAATAAAGTGTTACTGAAAATTACTTTGTATTTCATTGGCTCTACAAAAACAAAGCCAAACTGGAAAGTTCCGGGCTTCAGTGTCAAAAGTTGCTGTTCTGGCCACCAAACAACCATAACAAGTGTGAAGAATGGTAGGAGACAGAGATGGCATGGCAGGCTGGAAGGGGAACAAAAGGAAACAAAACAATGTACAGAGCAGATTGGTTTAGCTACAAGTGAGGGAAGTGAAGCTTAGTCTGGCGCTGTAATTGGGCCACATATGAAACTCAGCATGTGTCCTTCTCTCACAGAAAATCCGAGAGCACCGTGAGAAAATTCTCCTCCCTATGCCGGAGATCAATTTCACACAAAGTGCTAAGGATTTGCTGCAGAACCATAGAGGAGTCACCGAAATAGACTTGGGTTGTGATATTGGACTGGGTTTGGCCTGAACCTCAGCACTTTTACTGGATGTTCCGTGCAAGAATCATTGGTTTTAAGCAGAGGTGTTCTAAGCTGAGACCAGCAACTCGAAACTTGCATTCAGAGGCATTTTATAGTGCTTTGCTCTAGATCTGAATGTGTGTTCTTACTTGCTGGTGTGGGAGAGGTCCAAACTGTGTGCTAAATCGACTCAATAACACTTTTATGACAACTGTGCCTCTGTGATTATAGCTAAAGCATGAATTGTATCACTCACATTAACAATCAGGAGTGGAGAAATTATCCCTGAATGCAGATTCCGTGAAGCTAGCTGAATCTAATTATGTCGGGCAAAATAGCCTTGTGGCACCATCTCAGAGCTACTACACTCTCACTCTCAAGGCCTCATAGATATATGTGATGAAAAACAATAAATAGAGACACAGCCGCAGGCCACTGAAGTATTAAAGTGTAACATATGTGCACTAAAACAGAGAAAGCAATTCAAGCATAGAATGGACAAACACTGTCTCTTTACTTATCTATGTGTCTGTCTGTCTCAGTTTTACACTAGGCTATAAACCTGGTCCAAAACATTTTCCAGAAAATATATAACACACTGTTCATTCACTGTCATATCCATGTATTCATGTCCACCTTTTCTGTGTTGAATATTTCAGTGACTCTTTTAGACCAAAGTCTTTAAGATTGCATATACCACTAGTTGGCATGCAATAGTATGAAATGCTTAAGAGCCTTCTCACTACAATGCCTTGAAAGGCACCTTAAGCAACATTGCATGCTAAAATATTTCAGGGAGGAGCCCAATAGTAACATGATTACGGCACCACGATGCACTCGTGTCTCTTTTGTAATAACGACGGCAGTCCACTGCGTCCACTCTACCGTGATAGGCTACCTGAATCTCGAGCGAATCGTTCTTTTGAACGGGTTCTTTTTATTGATTCATTCGAACCGAATCGCGTTTGTAAATCACAAACACAGTGTAACTGTGAGGTGGGTGATATGAACCATAAACAAAACAGCACTCTGTTAAATCACACAGTCAAACCACTTTACTTAAGTAAAAATACAATGTTTTTTTTTACCACAAAAATGAAACGCTGATAACTGAATAGAATCAGTTAATCGGTTTTTGTGAACGAACCGATTCGCCAAAATGAATCGGACCTCCCAGTGCTCGCTGCCATCTGTTCGGAGCAGCGTGACGCCCCCTGCTGTCTGATGCATGAAAGGCGCTGGGCAAGTTCCACACAACCCTGAGCGACTCCTCAAAGCAACGTGTGCTGGAATTTGACTCGGGTGAAGCTCTCAACAGCGGGTTTCGTATGGTTATCGCTTGCGACCTAAAAAGCTGCCGTTTTCCCCGTGCAGAGGTAAAATGACCAGCACGGAGATCCAGAATTCGGGAGAGGAGCCCTGCTTTCGCCTGGAGCACCTACCGGGCAAGAGCCCGCACCTAGCGGGCAAGGCGTCTCCGCAGGTGAACAGCCGCTGGGATGCGCCTCAAGTGACGGCCAACGGGGTCCATGACATTGAGGATCGGATTTTACGAATCACTGGTTATTACGGCTATAAACCCGGGTACTCCAGCCACAGAAGTAAGTGTTTAAAAACACACGCAATAACAAATGCAATAGTAATGGTGTCGAGATCAAGTCACGGCTGTCTGCACGCTGTGTTGGCCTTGAACGGTGAATACATATAATGTGAATGTGAAGGAAACATGCTGTGCGGACTGTCTCGTTTTGTTTGCAGGGCGCTTTGTTCACAAGTTATGTGCATACTGCATAAATCTTAACACATGAGTACAGAACTTTCTGTTGAAGTTTTGAATGTAATAGTATAGAATATAATGTAAAATATAACAGGATAGGGTGAACAGGATAGAAATAGATATAAGAAATAAAAATAAAGAATAGAAAATAAAGATAAAAAAGAATTAATCAGATTAAAACTATTCAAAATGTAACAAATAGTAAAATACTAGATGATATAATAATGAAATGCTCCTTTATAGACAGTTTAGATCCATTAGTGAAGTAATTTAGTGTCAACAACTATACATTTCTTTCCAAATGTCTGCAGACAACTGTATAGGCTAAATACATATAATCATACTGCACAGCACACTCATTAATTCATTGATAGTAAGGCATTGTGCAATTACAAGTAAACAAGAAATCACAAGCAATATATATTGCAAGATATGTTAGACAAAATGCACCGAGATAGCAGGTTGAAAGACACTTATTTGTTGAACGCTTATTTAAATGGCAGTGTGAATGGAGTAGAGTGGTGATTGGATCCTAATTGTAGTCTGTGTGCCATTCCTGAATTTCAGTACCCTCAGTCTATTTTAATGCAATCGAAAGAGTCTTGCCACAGGACAGATCTGAGGTTCCGCTTAATTGTTAGCATGCAGAATTTTAATGTTTTTGTATTATTATTATTGTTGTGGCCAAATGTAAGTACAACATATTACACAATGGTCAGTGCATGAGTGGTGGTGTAGCCTGTGTCTCTGGTGTGCTGTTATTACACTGGTGCAGTATGTAAGTACATGAATCATGTCTAATGAATATCAGTGTGTACTGTATGTGTGCATGCATTTGTGTGTGATGCCTCAAAGTCCCTGAGGACAGTAGATGGTAACGTTAACTCTTGTGTTGCATTCATCTTTTTGCCACTCGATGTATTACATAACCGCATCACACATGACGGGCTGTGCCAGATATACCAATTGAAACAATGGGAACAATCATATTCAAATGACTTTCCAAATGAAGACAATTTTCTAAAACATTTTTGTTCATTTACGAATGCTTAGTTGAAAGCAACGATTATTGTGCTCAACCAAAAATCTCCAAAAAGGTTTTCTTTTTATGAGGTGTCACATTGAAATGTTCCCTCAGAGACTGCCATGCTCACCACTGTTTTAAGACCTGACTCAGCAGTATATGTAGTGAATTAAAGTCAGTCATAGACAGGCAAGAAGAACAATGTGAACGCACTCAACGCACTAGCCTATTATTTAACAAAAACTAGTTGTAATCACCATCCATCCCAAAGAACACTGTCTGTACTCTGCCTGTATTTGGATGAAAGCTCAAAATTGATGCTTTGTAATTTATAAATTAGTTAAGTATTGGTTTCGCAAAAATCACACAATAACATCCATTGCATATTTAATCCTGAGGAAATTGCCAAAGGCAAGTCTTATTTATTTAATGACTGATGAATACAACAGTTAAATTTGTTAAAGTCTAAATGAAAGAGTGTTCGCAACCCATTTTACCCCTTTAATGGTAAAAGTTTGCTAAGTGAAACATGGTATTATATATGAAAAAATGTTGAGTGGGATTGATTGGATTGTAAACCATAGCCAGACCTACTGTAAATGTGAACCTGAAACACTTAGGGAGGCTTTCTGACTGGGACATGGAGGCTGAAGGTCAAATTCACACTCAAGAGCATCTCAACCAATAAGTGTGTGTTGGCCCTTTTCTTTTCCAGTATAAATTCAAATTGCAGTTTCATTAAATGTTTACACAATTTCAAAAAGCAACAAATACTATAATGTTTTTGTATATTTATAATATATATTATGATTAATGCATACTTTTTATTTAAAAAATACAAAAATAAATTTTTAAGTATAAATGAAAATTAAACACGTATGTATTTATTAATATATAATTATTTTTGCAGTTAGTTTTAACACATCCAATTCCTTTTAAGGAATGAAATCTAAATAAAATGCTAAGTATTGGATCCCCACTGGATGCAACAAATGCCTCATTTGTAATGGGTTTTACTGGATTTGTCTCGTCGCGCCGCGACATGGCACCACAGTATGGTAAGGGCGTAACATTTCCGTCACACGCTTGAGGTATTCAGCCAATCACAACGCACTGGATAGCTGGCCAATCAGAGTACACCTCGCTTTTCAGAACGATGCGCTTATTAAAAACGACGAGTTTCAGAAAGGCAGGCATAGAGGAGAAACATTAACGTACATTATGTGGAAAATAATGTGTTTCTTGAACCTTAAACCACATAAACACATTACACCAAATACACAACATAATGTTCTTTTTAGCAACGCCATATGACCCCTTTAAGCTCTAAGATCAATCATTATCGAGAAATGCAGCCCTGGCAAATTTGTGTGAGTGACACTTATAGTGTAATATATGTGCATATCTACATTGCCATCCAAAAGTTTGGAAACGCCCCAGGCAAAGAGGGGTTTGGACAACATCATCATAAATCCTTGTTATTTTGTGATGACTCTGCATTAATAAGGGACAACACAAAATATGTAAGCATTTTATGAAATAAAAAATGAATTCACAACATGGAAAAATACTAGAACCATTGATCAGTTAACTGTGTTCTGCTTGGTCTGTTGTGTACTAACATTAATTGCCAATCAATCAGTAAATCTATAAAGGTGTGTGACCCAATAATCTAGAGAAAAGAAACCATACTGTATATATTACCCCACTGACAGGGAATCCAGCCACTCATAGTGATATGGAGGCGCTGCCTCTGTGATTTATCATCTATATTTAACGTTTTTTACTTCAATAGGTTGGTATATAATAAAATTTTATCAGTTAATGAAATTACAGTATTTAACTGTAAATTTAAGTTAAAACCGTAAAACCTAAAACGTTGCTACCGTATTTTTTACGGTAAAATTCCGGCAACCACAGCTGCCGGTTTTCTACCGTAAATTTTACGGATTTTTTTTACAGTGTAGGCTCACTTGGGAGCTTTACAGACTTCAGAACAGACAGCTGACGTAAGTAATCGTTCCTGAATCGTTAACCCAAATAAAAAGTAATGTTCACACTTCCAAACAGCGTTATTTTATTATCATTGAGATACAATTCTCATTTTTATTAACTTTTTTCCAATTATATTTTCTTTTTTCTTTTAATTTTAGTTAAAGTTTGATCAATTTTCCTGTATGTTTTTGTCATTTTTATTGTTATTTTGTAAAATATGTCTATATACAGTAGTTTTTGATAATTTTTATTTCAGTTATAGTATTAGTTATTTTAGTTATTTAAAAAGTGTTTTTTTTAGTTAACTATAATAACCCTGCTTGAAGTCAAAGTGCCCAATTCTGTTTTTCTACACAAATTCAACATTTGTGTGATATCAAAATAGACGATAGCAGACACTGATCTAAAAAGGTGCCAGATCCAAAACAGATCCAGTTTATTTCCAAAACCAGAACTGAAACTTCCATCTTAACAAACAGATCTGTGTCACATCAGGTCAGTCATAAATGCAGTGTGAATGTAGCTAATGTCACTTAAAAGATACGGCACATTCAGAAGTCATGTAATAGTGTGGAGAGATTGAATTGAAGTAAGGGGTATTAGGCAGTGTGCTATATCAGCTGTGTGACATGTGAAAACCAAAAACTTTATAAACTTATTTTTCATTTACATGCAGTACCCTCCAAGTTTGTAAACGCCCTAGGCAAAGTAGGGTTTTGGACAATATCAGCATAAAGTCTTAAAGGAGACATATTATGCCCCTTTTTACAATATGTAATATAAGTCTCTGGTGTCCCCAGAATGTGTCTGTGAAGTTTCAGCTCAAAATACTCCACAGATCATTAATTATATCATTTTGAAAATGCCTAATTTGAGTGGAAGCAGAAACACACTGTTTTTCGTGCCTGTCTCTTTAAATGCAAATAAGCTGCTGCTCCCCGCC